CTGAGCATGAGGTCTCTTTCAACACTTGCTATCCCGTAATTAGTTTAGCTGCTCCTTCTGTTGCAAGTGTTAGGTAGATTATTGTTCGACAACGTTTGTTTATGAAAGTTGGTTCAGAACCCGTGTTTAAAATGGTTAGGTTAGTGCTAAATAGATATTCAACTAAAACCTTACCTCGTTCATTGCGTTTTTCCATTCTCCAGAAGGGGTGATGCGCTTTGGAGTCCGTCCCGATCACAACCTCTAGTCCGGTACTGTCACAGAAATGCACCAGCCTGACGAGGTCATGAGAGGGAGGAGTGTCTTCCTTCGGCATGTAGACCTAGGCGACGTCTATTCTTTCCTCCTGTGTGTTTTGTAATGCTACGGCATACATGTCTCTGGATGTTAATGGTTGTCCACAGATATCTTTTGTAGTATAAATACACGCTAGGCTAGGCTAGACTAGGATTGTCGTGCTCAGAGTTGTAGAATAACTTACCTTTTAGGTTGTTTAGGCCCTTGAATTTACCGGCCCCAACCCACGGCTCTTGCATTAGGGCTATGGCCGTCCGTTGAGCCTCCAACCACTCGCGTAATTGAACCGACGCAGTTTCACTGTGGTGGAGGCTGGCCTGCGCAAGGCTAGTTTTGGACGAAGGGCACGCCATCACTGACCGCGTCCTCCCCGTCCTCGCCCAAAAATAAGCCTGCCAGCAGATCTCGGGTCTCATCGTCAGCCACCTAGTCGGAGTTGGACGGCAAAGTGCAGCCCTTCTCGTCACTCAGTAAACAGCCGCTGATCCCGATCTCCGCTGGTGCTTTCGACACGGTTGTGCAGGCCGTTTTGTCACTGGTCTTGGGGTCCAGTGAAGATCCTGCTGCCTCAGTGTCCATGGCACCAGCGTCCGCGGCTTTTGGGTGGTTTACCGCCTCTTTGCTCGGTGGAGTATCATAAAATTTTCCTCTACGACCCTGGAAAAGAGGAAATATTTTTTTATACCGCCCCACATACACAGGCGAGACGGCGTCCGGCTTTCAACAGGGTCGGGATATGATCCTCCGGCACCGAAACAACGAGGAACCACCCTTCCGTCTGTTTGTCAGCTTTGAGCAGCAGCCAATCTTTTATATTTACTCAGCGGTTCTGGTACGCCGGCACACAACCAATGTCGCGTGAGTCTTTCAAGGGCCCCCTGGGCATCTGGGATGAGGATACTACATTTGACCCTTTGTGGTATCCCCGACTGCTTTTTAATAACCACTGAGCTGTTGGATTTGAGGTCGAGGGTAGCGATATTCCCCTTCAACCAATCTAAAGCCTTTGGTCCTCCCACACAGCCTTAGGATACCCTCCGAGTAAACGGGTTTACCTCTAGAGACTGGAGCCGACGCCTCAGGGTCTTGGCTTCTTCAAGCCTCACTGATCATCTTCCTCTGGATAGATACGAGGATGTCGTCAGCTATTTCTTTTGTAATGTGTCCTGTACGCGCACACGTTAGGGTCACACACAATTCAGCTTTAACTGCGGAAGCATAGGTGATCTTTGCAGCCTTGAATTGCTGCTCGAGTCTCACCTTTTTATGCTTGCCTCTCGGCGAGGTGGTCTCGTCCAGCATCCTTTTGGCTGCTCTTTCTTTTTTACCAGGACGCTCACTGCTTCCTGGCGGATTTCTTGGAACCGGTTCTAGCAGCTGCAACTTCCACTTGGGCAGAATTTTTATCCTTTCCAGTTTCAGCTCGACTACTGGGTCCAGGTCCAAGCACCTCAGGAGCAACAGCTTGCCCAGCCTCCTTAGTATTAGTTTTGAGAGTAGCCAGCTCTGTCCTTTCTTTACGGGCTTTCTCTCTTTGCTTCTTGTTCTTCTTCTTTCTTCTTCAGCTCCCTGGCTGGATAGACCCACTTGATGGTCCATCGGGTTGGTTAGTCACCTTTTTGGGTGTCTTGCCTTTCCCTTTACGGTTCACCAATTGCCAGGCAGCTGAGAAGAGGTCTTCCGTTCTAAGGGGTTCCGTGGAGTATTTCTACTCGCGGTCCCTTGTTCCCTATCGGTATCCAGCTTCAAGGAACTGGTTTTAGGAGCTTTCAGCGCGGAAGTTCCCTTGAAAGGGCCACCTACACTGGATGACGTGATCTGAGGGGTCTCCTTGAGTGTTGGTGCCTCTGGTAGTCACCTCTGACACCTCTCCTTCATTTGTTTTGGACCTTAAGTCGTCCATTATTAATTTAGTTTGAAAATTCGTCCCCCGGGTATTCCCACCCTCCATGGAGCCCGCACCTTTGGAAACGCCCTACTTTAAACAAAAGAAATTTCAGGCCTTAGGATTACACGGTGAATATAGGGACGCAAAGTTGGCTCACAGCGCGACGTCGGGAGCTTGATATAGTTGGTAGACAGGGCAGAAAAGGCCTATCCCCGCTGCCTAAATGACTATCACTTGCTCCGTCAGCATGGTCTTTACCACCACCTAGCTCTTTTCAGGAAACTAGGCAGCCCCTACATCCCTCGCCTGCGACCCTCTGTCGGGGCGTTTAGCCATTTCCCTACAAGCTGATAGGGCCTCCGTTTAGCTTGAAATCCGGGGCAAAGGGGGCGTGTTGCCTCTCGCTACTATATACCCCAGTGACGATTGGCTCAACCCTCCAGGACTCCTTCATCCCCGCGTACGGCGCTTGACTGCGCAGGTGAGTGTGCTAGTCCACCAGATACACCCACTCTCTCTGGCGGAACCACTCCTTCTCCTTTCTCATCCGGGCTTGGGACCGGCAATGGCGGAGTTACTTTTATCCCTAAGCGAGCTTGTTGCGTAACGCTACTCAATTCTAAGATGCCCTTAAGTCTCATGCTGTCTTTATCATTTTAAGTCAAAGTGACTGTAAATGTGACTTAGAGTGACTGCCACTTGGAGCACTAGAATAGGAAAGCGTTTGATGTTTGTCATGGGTGCCGAATGTCATACAGATGAGTCACAACTGAGGAGTAAAATGAAATGCCTCTCAGTGCATTACAAGCTTTCTTTACCCTTCAGAATAAAACAGCAGAGCACGTACTGCTACTTGGTGGCAACAATACGTAGGCCTGTTAGGTCATAACTAGCCAACATAATTTCAAGTAAGAAAGCCACAAATTAAGTGCAAAGAGAACTGCTAATCAGAATTCAAAGATAAGGGGCCCATTTACCCTGGCTTCCACTTTCCCGAATGTATCTTTAGAGTACACTTGCCGCCTTTAGTGGTTAAGGGTTGAGATTTCTCCAAACCTCAACTTTGAGCCGTTCATAGAGTGCTGGGCCAAAGCAGTCGTAAGGAAACTATCTGCCTTAGTTAGGGTGCGGCGGTACTTCACGCCGGGCAGCTTTTTGCTATATATAAAGTGCAAGCGGTCGTACATGGAATACTGCTACCACGTATGGGCTAGTGCTGCAAAATGCCACAGGCAGCGTTGGACTCAGTGCAGTGATACTATGAGGCTTATTGGTTATCTTGATTTAGTTTTTTATTTTATTCAATAAGGGTGACAAACGAGCCCACAGTCCACCTGATGGTAAGTGGTTGCTGTTGCTCATAGACATCTACATCTATCTTCGTTTGCGAATTAAAATGCAGATGCGTTGTCAGCCGTGAGGACTAAGGTAGACTGCCTCTTTTCCAGTAAAAAGGGTCTCCGATTCTCTACACTCACCATACGAAACCCAGCAGCATTAAGCTGCTATTTACGCTGGTATTCTGTGAGTGTAGTTGAAACCAATCTTGTTATCTCCAAGCACAGGCGCAGAGTAAGCAGTCTCTCGGTATTTTATATGTTGCATTTCAGAGCGTGCACACGAATTACATGCCATAATCCCTCTTCGAAGAACCGACAACCGATGGGGAAGAAAGGTTCTTGACCAGCAGTCTCATACCTGTAGACGAAGTGTTGTGCGCCCGACCACTAGACGGAGTGATGACCTGGTAAGACATGCAGGAAGTCGATGGATTGTTAGGACTGTGCTTTGTGGATCCCTATGTTAAACAGTGGACTTGTGAAGGGCTGTAAAGTAATGTATGTAATTTCCTCCTTCCCCTTTTCACTATCGAACAACCAGGCGATAGCTGGGTCTTCACCCCATTGTTATCAATATTCCACGCATTTGAACCAATCGGCTTGCTTAGTCTTTCGTTATTCGTGCAGCAAAAGATTGAATTAATCTGCCTTTCTGTCTTAAGACACCTTAAGACAGAAAGATCTTTCCCTCCTATTATAATCTGGATGTCTTCAAGGCAAGAGTGAATAGGGATTTGTTACGCTAAGACAGTGCGTTTTACTATCTAGGGCTTCATCCAGCAGATGGAATTGTAGTCGAGTACAGACTTATATTAAGAAAAAATTATAATATGGATACTATGCATACGATATGCATATTATCCATATTATTATTTATTTTCTTCTTTTGGTCATTATTAAATTAGTATATTGTTTATCTATACAAATAAATAAAATTGAAGTGTCTGTTTGTAATGTAGAAATAACAGCTTTTTACTATATGCATATGAAAATATATACGGTACTTATAACAAAAACACGATTTTTAAAATTTTTGTCTGTCTGTCTTTCTCCCTGTTTGTCTATTTGTTCCAGCTAATCTCCGAAACGGTTGGACCGATTTTGATCGGACTTTCACTGACAGATAGCTGATGTTATACGAAGTAACTTAGGCTACTTTTATTTTAGAAAGAGAATCAGGGTTCCGCGCAAAAACGCGCGTAATTTATTACGATGAAATCCAATCGTAATAAATTACGCGCGAGGGGGGAAGTCGCGGGGAACAGCTAGTTAAGACATATTTTTAGTAACTGAGGGAGGTATTGTGTATGTTTTTTACTTATTAGCCACTGCTTGACCACTTACATCACCACTTCCCGCCTAGTGGAATGGTATCCACTAGGAAGAAAGTGGTGATGTAGGTCTAGTTGATAAATAAAAAAATAAAAACTCCAAATAGCTTATTGTGATATATTTTCTTTACATTTTCTTTGCAGTTGGGATGAAACACACTTTGGTAAAATGGCAAGCTGGTATATAAACAGAACGTTCTTCTTTGATGTTCATCCACCACTTGGCAAGGTATAAATTTATGTTTATGGTATGAGTATAAATTTATTGATTTATTAAATACCAACTTGAAATGTGTTTTTTTTTTATAAATTGAAAGTGATACACAAACTTACATTTCACCTGATGGTACAACTGCAACCAACTTCAAATCAAGAATGATAATGTGTCGTCACCTCTGAGGTCTAGATGAAATACCTCACAGCCTCTGATTATTCTTCTTCATCCTTAGTTTTATAAGTGGGTACTGCCCATGAACACATGCATCTTTAAAAATAAGATCACAGTTGCATTGTCACCCGTAACAACTAAGAATAAATGTCGCATAATCTATATTTTTTTAAAACGTTACCCCCACACTAGGATTTTCTCCTGTATTGTGGAGGCAGTTTACAAACATAAATTGCACCATGACAAACATCCAGACCCGGAACAATTATTTGCACTCCATACATGTTCCTTGCGGGATTCGAACCCGCGGCCCTCACCGCAGCAACTCATTGCTAAGACACTGCGCCACGGAGCCATCGACATGAGCCGAAACCATGGACATATAATTATACTGGCTCTCTTACTTTTCGAACAGTAGGTAGAATCTACCTCTTAAAAAAAAAAAGTTCAAAAACAATTTAACTGCTCATAACCGCGGTTCGAATCCCGCACGGAACAAGTATTTGTATGGCCTACAAATAATTGTTCCGGGTCTGGATGTTTGTCCTTCTGCAATTTATGTTTGTAAACTGCCTCCACGACACAGGAGAAAATCCTAGTGTGGGGGTAACGTTTTTTTTTTTAAAAGATGTATCAATTAATTTTTATCCTAAATTAATTAAAATTAAAAATTTACTCACAACAGAGCAAACTGTTACTGAGACCAAATTTAACAATAAGGGCCAATAAATTGTATATATATTTTATTATGTATTATGTATGAATGACAAGCTCGTGGAAACTATCCATGTGGTCGGAGCTAAATTCTGCAAGACCCGCCGTAGAAGAACACAAAAACTCTCCGATCACACTCTTAATCTCATGGCTCTTAGACGGGAGATGAAGCTACATTCTTCAAAAGATTTGACAGTATACAGGCAACTGAACAGACAAATCTCCAAATGCATGCGGCGGGACTTACGCAACTTCAATACAGGTTATATAGAAGAAGCGATCGGGCGGCCATATAGCTCGAAGAACCGACAACCGATGGGGAAGAAAGGTTCTCGAGTGGCAGCCTCGTACCGGCAGGCGAAGTGTAGGGCGTCCCCCCACTAGATGGAGTGACGACCTGGTAAGATATGCAGGAAGTCGATGGATGCAGGTGGCTCAGGACCGTGCTTTGTGGCATTCTTTGGGGGAGGCCTATGTTCAGCAGTGGACTTGTGAAGGGCTGTAATGATGATGATGAATGATGATGATCGGGCGGGACCAAGGCTCCAAAATCTTTGCCAGAGATCTGTCTGCCAGAAAGAGCCAACTGTCAAAGCTGAAGACCGAGTGTGGCAGCATCGTTTCCGGGGTACTTGAGATTTTGGTTGAGATTGAGAGGTTCTATGGGCAGCTGTACACGTCATCGTTGGAGCCACACGCAAGTGTGAGTATCGATCCAAGAGCGAGTCTTATCCGACACTATTCCGAAGATATACCGGACGTCAGTCTGAGCGAGATTAGAATGGCTTTCCAGCACCTTAAAAACGGCAAGGCCCCAGGCGAGGATGGAATTACAGCGGAGCTTCTGAAAGCGGGTGGAAAACCGGTACTTGAAGTCCTCCAGAAGCTCTTTAATTCCGTCCTCCATGGCGGCATTACACCGGAGGCGTGGAGCAGAAGTGAGGTGGTCTTGTTCTTCAAGAAAGGTGACAACGCTCTCTTGAACAACTACAGACCGATTTCCCTTCTGAGCCGCGTCTACGTGCTGTTTTCGAGAGTCATTACGAATCGTCTCGCGCGCAGACTTGACGACTTCCAGCCTCCCGAACAAGCCGGTTTCCGAAAGGGCTTTAGCACCATAGACCACATACGTACCCTTCGGCAAGTTGTATAGAAGTCCGAGGAGTACAATTTGCCACTATGCCTGGCGTATGTGGACTATGAGAAAGCCTTTGCTTCCGTCGAAATTTGGGCGGTGCTGCAGTCCCTTCAGCGGTGCCAAGTTGACTGTTGGTATATCGAAGTGCTGAAGTGCTTGTACAGTAGGGCTACGATGGCTATCCGAGTACAGAACCAGAGTACGAAACCTATCCAATTGCAGAGAGGTGTAAGACAGGGTGACGTTATATCCCCGAAACTCTTCACCGCTGCATTGGAAGACGTTTTCAAGCTTCTGGACTGGAAAGGATACGGTATATAACATCAATGGCGAGTACATCACTCACCTTCGATTTGCCGACGATATAGTCCTTATGGCAGAATCGCTGGAGGAACTAAGCTTACATTGACATTGAGCATACAATGACCTCATTAGTGTCTCCCAACGGATAAGTTTTAAGATGAACATGGACTAAACAAAGATCATGTTCAATGTCCATGTCACACCTATGCCGGTAGTTGTTGGGAGCACTAAGCTCGAAGTTGTTGACGAGTATGTTTACCTGGGACAAATAGTCCGACTAGGTAAGTCCAACTTCGACCGAGAGGTCAATCGACGGATTCAACTCGGCTGGGCAGCGTTCGGGAAGCTACGACACATCCTCTCGTCAGACATACCTCAAAACCTTAAAGCGTAAGTAGGCGAAGTGTAGGGCGACCCCCCACGAGATGGAGTGACGACGATGGATGCAGGTGGCTCAGGACCGTGCTTTGTGGCATTACTTGAGGGGCCTATGTTCAGTAGTAGACATATGAAAGAAAGGCTGTAATGATGATGATATTTTATTCAAGGTATTTAGTAAGTACTCATCAGCAATCCTCTTCTAAAGTTTGTTAATTAGTAAACTGCACTCTGTTTCGATCCCTTATCAGAACAAGCGTTTGTATTGACTATTAATAATTGTTCTGGGTCTGGATGTTTGTCCATGTGCCATGTATGTATGCCAAATGTCAAGAAGTTAGAAATTTCTAGTGGTTTTCCTTTTTTAACAAAATAAATAGAAACTTATCTTAGGTTTGTTTTTGGTCGTATGAAGCTATGGCGGTTGATTTATAACTATCAAACCAAACATATTTCATTTCAGATGCTGATTGCTCTTTCGGGGAAACTAACGGGGTACGATGGCAAATTCCCCTTTGAAAAACCAGGAGACAAATATAATGGTGCTAACTATGAGGGAATGAGAATTGTGAGCTTAAAGAATTTAAACACTTTGAGACTCAATATTTATCAAACATTGTATGATTTTGTGTTTTTTTTTTCAGTTTTGTACGACATTAGGAGCATTAATAATTCCATTAACTTTTCTTACAATATGGGAAATGACAAAGTCTCTTGACGCTACCTTTATTGGGACTATTCTTTTATTATGTGGTAAGTTTATTAATAGTTATAAAGTTCAACACAATGCACAAGGCATTTTTTTTTTAAAGAAAAACGGTGACTAACAAACACAGTCCACTTGATGGTAAGTGGTTGCTGTGAATTATAAACATCTACATCTATCTTCGATTAGAAATCAAAATGTCAACCGTGAATGTGTTGGAATAAGATGGAATGCCTCGTTTCCATTATAAAGGATCTGTATAGGACTAATACATGTTCTTGTTTCTCTGTAGAGGTAAAATAGTGAAAGTAAAATTACAGTCTATTTATCTCACTACTGGGCACAGGCCTGGGCGTGTATTTAGGGCAACAAAATGTCCGCCGCGTTGCAATGAGTATATTGGCAGACTTCACATATTTTTCAAATTCTTTACAATGTTTTCCTTCGCCGCTGATCACGTCATTGGTGCCGGCGAGGATTAAACGCGTACTGTGAAATTTACAGCGAGCTCTTAGCTCACGAGCTATCTCGGCTCAGACTTTTAACTTTTTTTGTATATAGTTCTGCTATTTGATGCTTGGTGAACTTCTTCGTCAACCAAAAAATGTAAACTGTCTGTCTTGAAGGCGATCTCCCGTTTTAGAGAGAATTTACCTTAATCATGACAATGCATCTGCATTTTGATTCGTAATCGAAGATAGATGTAGATGTCTATGGGCCGCAGCAACCACTTACCATCAGGTGGACTGTGTGCTCGTTTGTCACTCTATCCTATAAAATAAAAAATAAAAATTAATCATCATTTTTGATAGGCGGATTGACGATCGCAGTGTAGACCTCTTACACTTGTTTTTTTTTTCAGATGTCGGATTTTTAACACTTAACAGATACATACTTCTCGATCCGATTTTGCTATTTTTCATGAGTTGTGCCATATATGGTGCTTTCAAGGTAAGTTTCAGTTATAACAAGCTATTTATTTTACAAAAAATTTTGTACAACCGACTTAATTATTAAGAATAACTCAAAAACCTACTGGTCAGACCTTGATCAAATGTATATGGGACCATATGAGCAGCACCAGCTTTCAAATAAAAAAAGAATCATCGAAATCGGTTCACCCAGTAAAAAGTTATGAGGTAACACACACAAAATCACCGAAATCGGTTCTCGTAGAAAAAAGTTACGAGGTAGCACACATAAAAAAAGAAAAAAATACAGTCGAATTGAGTACCTCCTTCTTTTTGAAGGCGGTAAAAATGTGTAGGATTTTAGTATTAATTGTTTGGTTAATGCTTCTTTTTAATTGTAAAATCAGAAGGTAAAATTCCACTGCTAAAGATAGATAGGCGTCTTTCATTGCAAAGATTTGCCTTAAATGGTCAATGTTCTCTCATGGTTGGTCGATTGACGATTGCAGTACCAGACTTCCCATTCCCACTTTGGACGCTGTTCCCGTTGTCAACCCACTGTCATTTCCAATACTCCGCTCTCACCGCACCCACACCCACGAGACGAAATGTGGTAATGGATTCTTGTTATGTGCCATCAAAATAAGTTTTTAACAATAAGCTGCTTTGCGTCAAGGAGGAGGATAATTTACAATAATAAATATGCAAGTTTACAATGTACGTACAAGTATACGTGGTAGAGCCATGCTGCAGCTATATTAGTAGTATAGTTGTAGCACGAATGGGTCGGCTCGATCGGGGAAGGACCAGGCTCTCACAGAATACCAGCTTAACACTGCTGTGTTTCGTATGATGAGTGTAGAGAACCGGAGACCCTTTTTACTGGAAAAGAGGCTTTCCATCTTAGTCCTCACGGGTGACAACGCATCTGCATTTTGATTCGCAAACGAGGATAGATGTAGATGTCTATGGGCCACAGCAACCACTTACCATCAGGTGGACTGTGTGCTCGTTTCGTCATCCCTATTCTATAAAAAAAATGTAGTGGCAACATATCGTCCCGTAAGTGTCGTAAGAGGCGACATAAGGAAACAAACTGGAGATTTACACCAGCATCTTCCTGAAAACAACTCAAAATAATAAAAAACTACAGTTGCCACAATAGGCGTGGCAACTATAGCAGAATTCTGTTCTTTAATTGCAATCTATGGGAGAGCTACATGTTCAGCAGTGGACTTATAGGCTGTCATAGGTAATGAAATATGCAAGTTTGTATTGCCGTGTGTGCCTTAAGAGGCAATTATAGGAAATGCCAGATAAATCTTACCATCAAGCATACCACTGCAAGGCTTCAAGACACAGTAAATTCATTCTGCGTAAATCGGACCAAAAGCAATAATTGAAAAGCTGAAGATATTCCGGATTAACTATGATATCGGGACGTCAATCTTTCAAAATTCTTTCAAAATTTTTGCAAAACCCATGGTCATAGGGCAGTGCCCTGTGACCATGGGTGTTGCAAAATTTTCAGAAATAATATCCATATATATGTTGTAAGCAATATTTTTTAGCGTTTCTGTAAGTAACTCTATGGTTATACGTGGTGATCACATAGGCCTAAAAGAAGCCTAAATAGGTCTGGGAAAATTGATGTCAGCAGTTTTACAATCCTTGGCCGTCCAATAACGAAATTATAAATAGCTTTTTGCTGAGCTTCAGATAGATCGGATCATATAGAACAGATAATTTTGCGTCAGACGTAAAATATTCGTCAGTGTCAACGGTGGAAAGACTTCTGGAACTGCGACTGACTATGTCTATCAAGCGTGACGATTAAAGCAAAATAATACAACTGTGTTTCGTGTGGGTAGTGACAAGAACTGGAAGAGTAGGATGCTTTAAAATATTAACATTCTTGCCCACCGCTGCCGTTGCCAGAGTTACGGAGGATAGACCGAGTGGTATATCACTATGATATTCGTTTTCCCCCGCGACTTCACCTTGGCTACAGAGGGAGTAGGAGTCAATACCACTCCCCTTACAACTCTTCAACTCGCACTCATAATGGGCTGGCATCAACCATGCACCTCAGCCGTTTCGGCTTCTCTTAATTCACCGTATGTGATTAGCCACAGCTATGAATGCCCTCCGACGTTACAAGGGAGGAACTAGGAGGATAGGCTAAAAGTTTCGGAGACTAACTATCAAAGCGTGTTCTCAAATCCCATTTTTATTGTGATATTATTGATTGAAAATTATCTTTCCTTCTTATAGGTTCGAACATTAACGGACTCTGGACAGCCGCCTTTCTCTCCTCGCATGCTGCTGTGGCAGGTTTTCCTAGGCTGGGCTCTCGCGTGCACTATGTCCGTAAAGTTTGTTGGTTTGTTCGTCGTGTTATTCGTTGGATTGCGCACACTTGCCGACCTCTGGAACGTGCTGGGTGACTTAACTAAACCAGTGGTAAGTGTCAGAGTAAGATTCAAAGTACTTACAAACTTGAAAACATTCTGGTTGCAGGTGAATGAACTGCATGTTTTACGAATGCATGATATCAAAAACGTACAATGGATGTCTCAGTATGTCTTTTTCTTTAAAGTTCTTGTAGTAAATCATGGAATTCTTTATCGCAAATGACTCATCTCTTTTGCAATATAAGTATGGTTTAACTTGGATTTTAAATACGAGGGCAACACTGAAAGTTTTTAGAACTGACCAATTGTAAACGATATAATAAAAAAATAAGTTCAAATTTTGAAAATGGAACTCTTTGCCAAAATTATTGAGTATGTATTTTATTAATTTGTCATTTGTTTACGGTTTGGCGGCAAATTGAAAATTGTCTGTGTCACGTCAGCATGAATTTAACGCGAGAAAATTTTCGTACAACGATTTTTATGACTTTCGATGTCATTTAAGGCAACAAGTAAGTTATGATAGACTTCGATTCATCGCCTTTCACGATGAAGCCCCATCGCGTGCCACTGTTTACAACTGGTTTAATGAGTTTAAACGTGGTTGCACTAATCTCACCTATGATCTGCGTGAGGGACGACCTTCTACGGCGACGACTGAAGATAACATCAGTGTTGTGCGGCGTATGATAGAGACTGACAAAAGAGTGACTTATCAGCAGATTCGGACAAGCTTATGCATTGGTATGAGTCAAGTGGACAAATTGCTCCATGAACATTTAGTGGTCAGGAAGGTTTGTGCCCGGTGGATACCTCATAATTTGACAGAGGCCCAAAAACTCAGTCTTGTTGATTGGTGTCGTGAAATGGTTCAAAGATTTAACGGAGGTGACTCAAATGCTGTGTTCGACATACTTACGGGTGACCAAAGCTGGATTTATTGTTATGATCCTGAAACTAAAAGACAGTCTGCTGTTTGGGTGTTTCCTTCCGAGGAGTTGCCAACTAAAGTGAAGAGAGGTCGAAGGGTGGGAAAAAAGATGGTGGCCTCGTTCTTCAGAAGGACAGGTCATTACGAAACCATTGTTTTAGAAAATCAAAAAACAGTTACTGCGGAGTGGTACACTGTTAGTGTACCACTTTGCAGTAGTTGTTTTTTGTGCAGCATTTTGGAACCCTCCTTTCGGAAATGTTGAACAAAAATTATCGAAAGATTGCAGCCGTCGGTGGTTTTGTTTTTGTTTTAATGGTATTTTACTTGTTTCTAGACACTGACGCTGAAACATCTTATCGGAAGAAGCATAACCTTGATTCTGTGGCCAATAATGCTGTACGTGTTTTTCTTTTGGATTCACCTCACTGTCTTGAGCAAAAGGTTAGAAGCACGATATCATCTTTTCGTAAAAAGTCCACTTCTAGAATGCAAAGCAGTAAACGAAGGTTGAGTGTGACAAAAGTTGTATGAAATTAATAATATCTTGGTTTCAGCGGCAATGGAGACGGATTCTACTCTTCCGGATTTCAGGCCCGTTTGGAAGGCAACAGTTTGCACAACGCCAGCGCGCCCAGGATTGTGGCATATGGTGCTCTAATCACACTAAAAAACCACCGAACTGGCGGTGGCTATTTGCATTCCCACCATCACCTGTATCCGGCAGGGGTGGGGGCTAGACAACAACAAGTAAGTAATATTTGCTTGAAGCTAATTGCGGGTCACTACTAACTGTACTAATCACTCACCATCAGATGTCTAGTTTACTCATTCGTCATTTTAATGCTAGAAAGTACTAAGTGCTGACTCTGGTAGTGCATTACTCTCGACACGTCAAGGTCAAGGAATTTTGTGTTCCTAAAATGCTCCTATCATAACCATATTGCACTTATACAATAATATGAGTAGCCGTATACCACAAAAACACACACACAATTTTTTTATATTGCTACTTTGATAACGACTGAAAAATTGAAAATAAAATTATTGTGGACGTCCGGAAGTTGATTTTGTATGTGATCACGATAACTCCCGAAAAAATGGACGTATCGAGATTTTTTTTTATTAGCTTCAGAATTAGATCAACTGGTTTCCTATTTCATATCAACAGCCTAGTACGCGTCGTTTATTAATAAAATTATTATCAAGGTTTATACGTTTTATTGCTATTAAACATTTACAGGCGCTTTAATTTTTTTCTTTAGCCCTTAATAGTCAAAGGACAAATATACCATACAGCCTATATCGATTTTATACTTTGTGTAATCCAGTTATTTTGGTAATTTATTTTTTTCATCAATACTAAATGAAAAGCTCATGAGGCGTGCACATTTAGTTTTTCCAAACTATTTCAAAAGTTTGGTTGGTTTATCGTTTTGAGTGTAAAGCTCATTTCAGACTATGCTATAATATTCTGCTATATTGTATATCACGTTGTTTAATAAGAAAGCAAACCAAACCAAAAAAAGATGCTTAAGTAGTCTCTGGAAGAGAACTACATATTTGTGTTTACTATCGGTTCGTGGGTCCCACGTACCCTGAAGTTCCTAAAGTAACTGTGTCCATGACTTGTCATCTCTGTTGTTGTTGACAAGAGGGCTGTTTTTTTTCTCACTCAAAGACTATGCGTAAGATATACACGTTATTACAGGTACTAATATTGTCTCAATGTCTATAGAAAGTTTCATTTTGACAGCTCATAAAAAAGTAGTTAAATTAATTCCATTTATTCATTCAATCAATCACCACTTCCAGATAACAACGTACACGCACAAAGACGATAACAACCGATGGCTGATCAAGCCGTACGAGCGCGAGCAGGTCGAGGGCGTGGTTCCTGTACGCAGCGGGGAGCTGGTGCGGCTGACCCACGCCGCCACTGGACGCAACCTGCACTCGCATCGCGAACGAGCACCTATCTCCGCCAAGTTTCTTCAAGTTACCGGTTATGGAGAGGTGGGTATAAATACCGACACGGTACTATGGTAGAGTTGAATAATAAAAAACACAGGCAAGTGGGAGTAAGTTTCACGCTCTGAGGATTTCGTATAAGCTTAGGCTACTTTTATCAATGATTAAGTTACTGAGATCTAAATTATATGTAAGGTGCTTACCTTTAGTACTAGTAAGTATATAAGTAGCGGATTAGTAAGCTGAAGTGGCAATAGACCGGTCGAAGGACCGACAACGCCGTTTATTATTGTTGTTGTTTGTTACCGCCAAGAATGCCGTACTCGAGTGGCGGGCTCGTACCTGTAGGAGAAGTGTAGGCCGGTCCCATAGACTTAGAGAAATGGGCTGTGCGTTCCGTATTCAGTTGTGCAGTGAATACAGACCGAAAAGTGCGAAAGAAACAAAGCAAAGCGAATGTGCGGCCAGTAGTTGTCTCTTTCTAGAATTTTGATTGGTCCACGTCACTGGCTTGCAGGACGGACCAATCAGGTTTGCACGAAAGAGACGGGTATTGGCCTCTCAGTCGCTTTGTCTCTTTTGAGAGAACGGTCACTTTTGTGAGCTAGGCATTATATCTTAATGCTCATAAATAACAAGATATACATAGATAACAGTGTATCTGAACGCACATATGCGCTGTCACTTCTGAGTGGACTTGTTTGTTCGTTACATCGATTTAAAAAATTCAAGATTGTAAATATTATCTAAATTTTTAATATCCTTCTGGGGTGGTCAAATGCAGTGCAATATTTTTTTTAATTAAAACTACATTATATCTTATCTTATATTTTATATGGAAATTTTGTTTATACCTACAGGATGGAATCGGAGATGCAAATGACGTTTGGAAGATTGTAGTTTCTGGTGGCAAAGAGGGCGAAGAAATACAAACAGTGCGCAGCAAACTGATGTTGGTGCATTACTTGCAGGTCAGATCAAATTATAGAACATCCATTAAGCTGTTTTATTAAAATATAAAAAATTTAAATGTATGCTTTAAAAAATGTAATTAGATTTATATAACTGCATTTTTTATTTTATAAGCCAGTGCGTGGCTATAATCCCACCTGGTGGTAGGTGATGAGCTGATGAGGTTATAAATGGTGAATTGCACTGTCTCTGCGTAACAAAACCTTCGCCCTTTTATCTTGAAGACGTCCAGATTGTAATCGGGTGGAAAGATAGACATCGGCAACTTATTCCACTTCTTACCTGTACGCATTACGAAAGACGAAGTAATCCGCTGGTTCGTATTTTTCGTAATTGTCATGCTATATTTCGCCTTATTAAGGGACATTTATTGTAAAAATATAAAATTTAACTTTATAGGCTTGTGTATTGACTACAACTGGCAAACAGCTTCCTAAATGGGGTTATGAGCAACAAGAAGTAGCATGCAATCCAAATTTAAGAGACAAGAATGCCTTGTGGAATGTGGAGGACAATTTATTCGATGATTGTAAGTCTATTTGGTTATTTCTGAGTTTTCTTATTTTGATTGGAAATATTTTAATTAAATTATTTTTAATCTTGCGCACAGTACCAAAAGTGAGCTTCGAGGCGTACGCTTCTGGTTTTTTGGAGCGGTTCTTGGAGTCACACGCGGTTATGTTCCAAGGCAACGCTGGTCTCAAGCCCAAGGAGGGCGAAGTCACCTCGCAGCCGTGGCAGTGGCCGATTAATTACAGAGTAAGATACAGATGATTTTAGTTTTGCCGTGATAGCTCAAAGGCGGGCTGCATGTACTACTAAATTGCTTAGTCGCAATCATAATCACTGACTACTATGCTCGGAAAACATTATATGAAAACTATGTATTTGAGAATTTAAAATGACAATGACTCTTTCCTACTCTTAAACACTTAAAAATAAGAAGTGGTCTGTGATTACTTCTCTAGCTTTAATACAATTCATAATAACGAAATATTTAATTTTTCCTTCAGGGTCAGTTCTTCTCGGGCAGTGGTCACAGAATATACTTATTAGGCAATCCAGTAGTGTGGTGGACCAACCTACTTTTTCTAGTTGTTTTCTTCATTATTTACGTAATAAACTCAATTAAAGAGAAGAGAGCTGAAGCATTTGGGAGGCCTATACCAGGTAAGATTTAAAATATAAATTTAAAATTTAAAGTACATACAAAAAAGAAACCCAAGATCCACATGTTTTTATTCATTTATTCGTTAGCGACATATGCGATCATAAGCTTAAGCACTATGCTCAATGACCTTAATAGTGTTTCCCAACGGATAGGTCTTAAGATGAACATGGACTAAACAAAAATCATGTTTAATGTCCATGTCACACCTATGCCGGTAGTTGTTGGGAGTACTAAGCTCGAAGTTGTTGACGAGTATGTTTACCTGGGACAAATAGTCCCACTTGGTAAATCCAACTTCGACCGAGAGGTCAATCGACGGTTTCAACTCGGCTGGGCAGCGTTAGAGAAACTACGACACATCTTCTCATCAGGTATACCTCAAAACCTGAAAACGAAATTGTACAACCAGTGCGTGTTGCCAGTGATGACTTACGGATTTGCGACGTGGTCCTTCACTGCTGGCCGTATGAGGAAGCTCAAGGTCGCTCAGCGAGCTATAGAGAGGGCTATGCTCGGGGTTTCCCTGCGTGATAAACTTAGAAATGAGGATAGCCGCTGTAGAACCAGAGTAACCGACATAGCTCAACGGATTAGTAAGCTGAAGTGGCAGTGGGCCGGCCATGTAGCTCGAAGAACCGACAACCGATGGGGAAGAAAGGTTCTCGAGTGGCAGCCTCGTACCGATAGGCGAAGTGTAGGGCGACCCCCCAGTAGATGGAGTGACGACCTGATAAGACATACAGGAAGTTGATGGATGCAGGTGGCTAAGGACCGTGCTTTGTGGCATTCCTTGGGGGAGGCCTATGTTCAGCAGTGGACTTATGAAAGGCTGTAATGATGATGATGATGATGATATGCGATCATATATTTATTTAGTTTCAGCTTCATTCCTTGAGCTCTATTATGTTTATGATAATAGCGGCGTAAGAGAATTCATTACTCAATTTCGTCCCGTGGGTATCGTAAGAGTCGACTATGGGAAATACCAGAAATATCTGGTGGCTTCCGATTGACTCTTACAACCAACCATCTTACATACAAGACGTCTGGTACCTCGATCATCTATCCGCTTGCCAAGCGTAGCGATTGAGGCAAATTTTACAGCAGAAGTAGCCCATGTCCAGCCGTGTAGTGGCTCGAAAGACCAACTTATGTCTAAAAATTATATACCATTACCGTTGAAACATTACAGTCCACTGCTGAACATAAGCCTCCCGCATAGATTGTCTCATAAGAGGAATATTTGCCATACTTCCCACGCTTGGCAAGCGGGTTGGCAACGGCAGTTTTATTTTTATTTTTAGTTGTTATTAGGAAAACGCTAATGCCAATTTCCTCATTTGTTTCTACACCCACGGGATGATATGGGATAGTGGATATTCTTACATTGCCACTAATGGGTAATAAAACATATTATTATAATTAAAATATTTTTATCGCCAAGAGATAAGTCAAAAGCGTTATCCACGTTGACATTATTATTTACTAAATTCTACATATTTTTATGGACATCATTGTACTCGTAATAGTGGATAGATTTTATTCCATCAGTCGGTCGTCACAGCCCGACAAGCAGCAGTGTGTTTAGGTGCAGATGAGGTAGACATTTGAAAGATTTTTTTTTATTTAGACAACGTTTTGGTTGTGTATATATTGTTACGCGCCACTATTAATGTCTTGTACATGGCAACACTAGTTACACTAGCGCCCCCTAGTGTCGAGTAAATGAAAGTATTGCGCGCCACTATTAATGTCTTGTACATGGCAACACTAGTCACACTAGCGCCCTCTAGTGTCGAGTAGCAGAACTAGGAGAGTCGAGATCCTTCCAGAAATTTCGGAACCGATATGTACTCGAACATTCTAGATGTCGCTACAGTAGAAGGTTCTGGAAACTATCTGAGGCCCTATATAAGACCGGTATAGACCACGACTGGGGCAGTATTGAATTGGCGATACAAGAGAATACTTCGAAGCGAAATAACGGCGAACTGTGTTTTATTATTAGTGTGTTTTTAGATTGTAATTAGTATCCGTAATTAAAGTGTCAATTTTGGTAATTTAATCGGCAGTTTTTAATTGTCTCGAACCCCAAGTTCGTAACAATTGGTGTCAGAAGTGGGATCAAATATGCCGATTTTACCTAAAGACGACACGATCCGTACCCGAAGTCAACGCCAACAGGAGACGAACCAGAGACGATTTGGTAATGCAACGCCGCAAACGTCGGAGGGCCAGTTGCTAACCACGGAGGCTGGCCCGTCAGCAGCTCCTGCATCTGCAGCACCTGACTTAGGTGCTCTGATGATGATGCTGCAGGATCAGGCTCGCCGACAGGAGGAACAGGCCCGCCGACAGGAGGAACAGGCCCGCCGACAGGAGGAACAGACCCGTCGGCTGGAAGAGCAGCTGCAGCGCGGTATGGAAGAACAGATGCTCCTCAGGAAGGACCTTCACGCTACCTTCGGGAAAGAGATAAAGGAGGTGAAGGATAGGGTTGCTCAACATGACAACCGCCTGTCGGAAGCTGAAACCCGAATCGACCAAGTGAACAATCGGGTTGACAACGTGATGGCTGATGTGAAGAAAACGCTGGACGACCTCAAACTTGGGGATGGAGTTACAGCTCCCGTGGTAGCTACAACACCTTCGCTACGTGGATTCAAAGTGCCGCCGTTCGACGGGACTTCTTCCTGGTCGGCCTATAAAATCCAGTTCGAGGCTGTCATGAAAGCGAACGGCTGGAATAAAAGTCAGGCCATGACTGCTCTCACCCTAGGCCTGCGCGACCAGGCATTAACTGTTCTGGAAGCTCTCGGTAAGGAAGTGACTTACGAGCAGCTCCTTGAGGCATTGGAGGCGAGATATGGCGACGCTCACCTGGAACACGTCTTTCGTGCGCAGCTCAAAGATCGCGTGCAACGCAGTAACGAAAACCTGCAGCAGTGGGCCCTTGAGGTGGAGAAGCTGGTTCGAAAAGCGTACCAGTCTGTACCTGCGCTTATTGTAGGGAACCTGGTGCAGACATTCATCGACGGCATCCGTGACCTTGAAGTCAGAGCTGCTGTGAGGCTCGGGCACCACGAGACGCTTAAGGACGCCTTGACCCATGCACTGGAGGTGGAAGCCGTGCGGCAGGATCATCGTTCCCACCGCGTCAGGGAGGTTGCAACAGCTAAAGTTCAGGACCGCAATAAAAGCTACAGCCCTAGGTGCTACGGCTGTGGAGAAAGGGGCCATCTTCGATCCAGCTGCCCTAAGCGAACTGTAGGAAGGGAAGGTGATCGATCTCGAGAGGGTAGTGCGGATAATAGCACCGCCCAGCAGCAGCAGGGAAACTGGCGGGTGCTGGCTGATGTTAAAAGAGCCCCAAGGATTTCGATCTCACAAACTCATGATGGGAACAGCCTAATCATCAAGGGCGAAGTCAACGGAACGCCATGTAAACTGACCATAGACACTGGAGCCTCTCGCACGGTTGTCAGTTCCCAACTTATAAGTCGGTTCCTTGGTGACTCCGCATACAACCGAGAACGCATTAATTTGGTGACAGCCACTGGTCAGCGCATACCCGTCCGTGGAGAGAAGGAGATGGAGTTGAAGCTAGGCAACATGATCTACCTGCATAATGTCATCGTGGCTGATATAATGGACGACTGCATCCTGGGCCTAGACTTTATGAGGAAGAATTGTTGTGAGATCGACGTTAAGCAAGGTGTTTTGAAATGTGGACAAGAAGAACTTTTCATGGAAGGGGCGTTACCAGGGAATGTGTACAGCCTTAAGAAGATTGTTCTTCCGCCGAAATCGGAAACGATTGTGCCGGTTAGTCTTCCTCGGAGTCCTGGGCAAGCTTATCGTTGTGTACTCGTGGAAAGGGTAGACAATGACCTTCCATGGAAAGTGACTCGAACCTTGGTCAGAACCACCGACATCTCAGGAGTACGTGTGTTGAACCTTTGTGATCAGGAACAGATTATAGAAAAAGGCACATTGGTTGGTACTAGTGAGGAAGTGGATTGGTTGCGTCGGTGCGAATATCTATCGACCGGGACCCCTAGCAAGGATGGACAAACGAGAGTGACCACACTTTTAGAAGACTGTCGCAGCGTTCTCTCCCCGAATGAAATGGTCAAGGCGAAGAAGTTGTTACTCAAGTACGCCAATGTTTTCTCGTCAAACGAAGCTGACATAGGAAAGACTGGCTTAGTTCAACACAAAATAAACACAGGACAAGAATTGCCTATTCGTCAGCGGCCAAGAAGATTGCCTGTAACACGTGAAAAGGAAGTGGAAACCATGATTGAGGAAATGGTGAAGGATGGTGTTATTGAACCTTCATCTAGTCCATGGTGTTCACCTGTGGTGCTGGTAAAGAAGAAGGACGGCAGCATGCGGTTTTGTGTTGACTACCGCCGCCTGAACGATGTTACGAAGAAGGACAGCTATCCCTTGCCTAGAATTGATGACACGCTGGACATGCTCACAGGCGTAAAGTGGTTTAGTACGCTGGACCTGAAAAGTGGCTACTGGCAGGTTGAAATTGACCCTAAGGACAAGGAGAAAACTGCATTTTCCACAGGAAAGGGTCTGTGGCAATTTAAAGTTATGCCGTTTGGATTGTGCAATGCTCCAGCAACGTTTGAAAGATTGATGGAACTTGTACTTACCGGGCTAATTGGAGATGCCTGTCTGGTCTATTTGGATGACATCATCATCGTAGGCCGTACGTTTGAGGAACACCTTCAAAACCTGGAACGCGTGCTCATGAAGATCCAGAGTGCCAACCTCAAGTTGAGTCCAAAGAAGTGCTCACTATTCAAACGGCAAGTTAGTTTTTTGGGGTATGTAGTGTCGGAAGAAGGTATCCGCACGGATCCAGAGAAAATTGCTGCTGTCAAGGAGTGGCCGGTCCCAAAAGACAAGACACAGGTTAGAGCATTTTTGGGTTTGTGCTCTTATTATCGGCGATTTGTGAAGAACTTTGCAGATATAGCCAAACCTCTGCACAAGCTAACCGAGGAGTAGCGACAATTCTGCTGGGATGAAAGTTGCGATATTGCATTCCAGGAGCTCAAGAACCGCCTGTGCAAAACACCTATTTTGGGGTACCCTGATGCGGGCAAGTAATTCATAGTTGACACAGACGCAAGTGATATAGGACTTGGCGGTGTGTTGTCTCAACGGAATGGTGATCAAGAGATTGTGATAGCGTACTTCAGCAAGTCGTTGTCAAAGCCGGAAAGGAACTATTGTGTCACAAGACGGGAATTGCTTGCTGTGGTAAAGTCCTTGCAGCATTTTAGCAAATATCTTCTAGGGCGGAAATTCCACTTACGAACTGACCATGCTGCACTGAAATGGCTATTGCAGTTCAAAAATCCGGAAGGACAAGTTGCGAGATGGATAGAACTACTGCAGGAATACGACTTTGTGATCGAACATCGCAGCGGGAAATCTCATGGCAATGCAGATGCATTGTCAAGAAGACCTTGCCCTGAAGATTGCAAGCATTGTACTAGGCAAGAGGGTAAGGAAGTGGTATCTGTGAGAATGCTCAGGACAGACCAGCTCAGCAATGAGTGGAAGGACAGCCTACAGCATGCACAGCAGGAAGATTCGGACATTAAGCCGATTCTGGAATGGATGAAGGCCAGTGCTCCTAAGCCCAAGTGGAGCGACGTCTCAGCAATGAGTTCGACCACAAAAAGCTATTGAGCCCAATGGGACAGCTTGCTGATTCAGGATGGAGTCCTGTGCCGTAAATGGGAAAATGGTCGGGGAGACAGGTGTCATTTGCAAATGGTTGTCCCTAAGGCTAAAGTGCCGGATATTCTACAGCTGTACCATAGTGGTTGTTCAGGAGGCCACCTGGGAGTTAAACGAACTCTCCTGAAGATCCGAGAACGGTTTTACTGGGTCCACTGTCGTGACGATGTCGAGGACTGGTGCCGCAAATGTACAAGTTGTGCGGCTGTAAAGGGACCTCAAATTCGTAGTAGAGGCGCATTGAAATTGTACAATGTTGGTGCACCATGGGAGAGGATAGCCATTGACGTTGCGGGGCCGATTCCAGAAACTGAAAGTGGTAACAAGTATTTCATGGTAGTGATGGATTACTTCACTAAGTGGCCAGAAGTCTTCGCCATTCCAAATCAAGAAGCTTCAACTGTTGCAGATAAACTAGTTCATGAAGTCTTCTGTCGTTTTGGAGTACCTTTAGAGATTCACAGCGATCAAGGAAGGAATTTTGAGTCTCAAATACTCCAGGAAACTTGCCGAGTTATGGGTACTCAGAAAACACGAACAACTTCTTACCACCCACAATCTGATGGAATGGTAGAAAGATTTAATCAGACATTGGAGAGGTACCTAGCAAAAGTTGTGGAAAAACGGCAACGAGACTGGGACAGGCACATACAACCGTTTTTGTTGTCATATCGAAGCGCTGTTCACGAAAGTACATCAGTGACACCAGCTTTCGCAAACTTTGGGAGAGAATTGCGGCTGCCTGCAGACCTGATCACCGGAATACCACCTGATGCCCCACGCAGTATAACCGATTATGCAAATGACTTGCGGAACAAAATGAATGACATTTATGAGCACGTCAGACAGACGGGCCAGCAAACGTCTGAGAAGATGAAAACACGGTATGACCGCAAAATGAACAACAAGGGCTTTGATGAAGGTTCACTAGTGTGGTTACACAATCCAGTTCGCAGCAAAGGGAAATCTCCTAAGCTTCAAGCTAAATGGGACGGACCGTACCGGATTGTGACAAGGATCAATGATGTAACCTACCGGATACAGAAAGGTGCCAGAGGTACTCCTAAGATTGTCCATGTGGATCGACTGGCGCGTTATTATGGGGCCAATAATGCTCGGGACGAGCATGTCTTAGGAGGGGGCAGTGTTACGCGCCACTATTAATGTCTTGTACATGGCAACACTAGTTACACTAGCGCCCCCTAGTGTCGAGTAAATGAAAGTATTGCGCGCCACTATTAATGTCTTGTACATGGCAACACTAGTCACACTAGCGCCCTCTAGTGTCGAGTAGCAGAACTAGGAGAGTCGAGATCCTTCCAGAAATTTCGGAACCGATATGTACTCGAACATTCTAGATGTCGCTACAGTAGAAGGTTCTGGAAACTACCTATATAAGACCGGTATAGACCACGACTGGGGCAGTATTGAATTGGCGATACAAGAGAATACTTCGAAGCGAAATAACGGCGAACTGTGTTTTATTATTAGTGTGTTTTTAGATTGTAATTAGTATCCGTAATTAAAGTGTCAATTTTGGTAATTTAATCGGCAGTTTTTAATTGTCTCGAACCCCAAGTTCGTAACAATATGTACACTGATTTTTAAGACGATAAATATATGATAAAGACAGAGACTAGTATGCTCCACTAGAAAATAAAAAGATAAATATTGCTCTGTTTAATTATGTTTTAACTTTAATATTAAAGTTCTGCTTATTTTAATATTGAAGCATTCAACTGATAATTAATTTTATACTACTTATATTTTATTTAAATTAATTGGACTTTTACTTTAATTAGTTTATAATAATGTTAACTGCTTTTAGAAATTTGTATCCTTATTTGAATACCTGTACTAAATGTATTTAATAAGAGATTAAGAAGTGCATTATTATTTTTATGAGTGTTTCGTATGCATATATATTAATTTATTTTGGTGTACCTAATTTAATAAAGAAATATTGACCAAAATACTTCTCAAATTTCAATTATGTACTGTCGTAGATGGGCCGGAGAGATCATTATTAAACGCAGCCGGCTGGAGCTTTGTGGGCTGGGCGCTGCACTACGTGCCTTTCTGGGCAATGGGTCGCGTTCTCTATTTTCACCATTACTTCCCTGCGTTAGTCTTCAGTTCAATGCTTACTGGTAATTCCTTTATTTTTTTCAACAAATATACAAAATGTATTTTTTTAGCTTAGTAGCATACGCCGCGTATCCGCTAGTATATTATTATACGCTATTATATTATTATTATATTATAGTATATTATTATACGCTATTATCCGCTAGTATATTCTTATATATAGGTTCCACTGAAAATCAGCTTTCATGAAGTTTCTTATTATTAAACTTCGTGAATTTAACGCTGAGTGGAAACCTTTTTGGTGCACTAATAGCATAAAATATTTTTTTCTCTTTGTAACTAAATTACTGTGTTTGTCTTTTATGTGTTTTTTACGTTTGTGTACCAAATAAATATTTTTCTTTCTTTCTTTCTATATTTATAAAGTTAAATTTAAATTAGGAGTAGTCTAATTAAAGTTATAGTAACAAACACACGCCTATCATTGGCATCGTTCCTACAAAACACCGCCTGTCAGAAGAGAGTCGTATTACTCTGTTTAAGATTTTGATTATACTACTCCTAATCTAAACATATATAATTGTGGGGGGTGTGCGGTTGCCAACCCGCCTGCCAAGCGTGACAATTTTTTTAAAATATTATAGATATTTATAGGTTGCCTCGTGTGAGGCAATCTATGGGGCCCATGTTCGGCAGTCAACTTTTATAGGTTGTTATGAATAGACATATGGATTTAAAGATGCTGATAAAGAAAGCGCGTGCGTGCCTGTGTGTGCGCGCGCGTATGTGTGTGTTTATGTGTGTGTATGAGCGGGTTTTGTTTATACATCCAAGAAAAAAAGCATACTACTATCCGTATCTTCATAATCAAATTATCTTAGCCATTCTGTAATTTTACTTTTCAGTAGGTGCCAAAAAGTCAAAATGTCTTTTAAACACAGCACTATTTGGTGATTCTAAATGAGCTAAATATTCAGTGATTCTAAATGAGCTAATTGTTATTAATTTATTTTCAGGTATTTTAACAGAATACTTGCTCAGAAGCATCAAGAGCTACTTAAGTTCGGAACTCGGGAGAACAATATACCATTGTGCCATGGGAGTCATAATTTCTACCACTGTGTACAGCTTCTATCTGTTTTCTCCGTTGGCGTATGGAATGAGCGGGCCACTGGCACATGAGCCGAATTCCACCATGTCGGGGTTGAAATGGCTAGAATCATGGGAGTTCTGATATATTTTATGTCACTCATTCAACGGCTACTTCTTGAAACAAGTAGTATATTTTAAAACCATACAACTTTATCAAATCTAGCTGTATCCCGCGACTTCGCCCGCGTGGTATTTATTACGATAGGATTTCATGGGTTTTAATTTTTTTTTTGCGCGAAATCCTAATTCTCTTTAAAACAGCTATCTGCCAGTGAAAGTCCCGTCAAAATATTGTGCTTCAATAATTGTAGTTGACTAAATTAAATTATTAGTCATTAGGAAAAAAGTTAAAAGGTAAAAATTTTCTAAATTAGGTTCAGCATTTCTTAGCATTCAACATGTAGTTATTGAGCGGCCAACATGATGAAATCTATATGGTTGTGTGTTTTTTTTTTAATTCTGGATTTACGATCAGATATCGTAAAAGTTTTCACAGCTGCTTAACTTTATAAAATAAACTTTATAATTAGCAGTTCTTAAAATATAAACGCAGATAAATATTTTAAATGTTTTAATATATTATATGTACTATATCTGTATGGGGACGGCTTGTAACTTTGAATAGGAGTTTTATTAAATTTTATCAATTACTAGCAATACCCGCGACTTCGTCTGCGTTGCTTGTATTTGATATATTTAACCGATTCGTTGCGGCACCGATTTTCGACAACTTTTAGCTGTGGCGGCAAACAAATATTTCATGACACGCCTATTGTGCCATCAGCCATGTGTAAAAGTAATGTTCTTTTTTATGTTTTTTTTTTTCACGTGTTTAGACCTAATTAAGTTTATTTGACATCAAACATCAGTTACAACCGGAAGGATACTTGTTTATAGTGGGTAACTACGTGTTTTCCTTGAAATTGAGAGTAAATGACTTTTTTATGCGGATATTACAAACCTTTTGTACAATTTTTTTGTTTTATAAATAAATCATTTATATAAGTAGGTACAGCTAAATCACCCTGGAAAACCTTGGTCTTTATTAAATTAAATTTTCACTTAATAATAATATTTGTAAATATGAAACAATCAAGATCCTTAATTTGGAAAAAAATAAGGTTTATGATTCATTGAAAAAAAAAATGTTAAATATTACTTAATGATATACAAATGTTTTACGTGGTAGAGCCATGCTGCAGCTATATTAGTAGTATAGTTGTAGCACGAATGGGTCGGCTCGACCGGGGAAGGACCACGCTTTCACAGAATACCAGCGTAAAATAGCAGCTTAACACTGCTGTTTCGTATGGTGAGTGTAGAGAACCGGAGACCCGTTTTACCGGGAAAGAGGCATTCCATCTTAGTCCTTACGGGTGACAACGCATCTGCATTTTGATTTGCAAATGAGGATAAATATAGATGTCTATTTTCCAGAAATTTATTTACAAGTTGAGTTTGTGAGCGATCGCAATGAGTGCTATTATTTGTTACTTATTAGACTATTTTTCCACAACATGATTTAAAACCCACAAATGGGTTTTACCCACAAAGTAAAAAGAGTAGGGGGAAGTGGGGCAGATTGATGCATAAAAATTTAAAGTCACTTTTAAGTGCTTAAATAACGTTAAAATTTATATTTGTTATGTTTTCTGCATTGCTACGTCTATAAATATAATAAAAGTAATGAAAAGAAACTGTCTAATTAATGCATAAAAAAATATAAAGCTTTTAGTAAAAAAAGAGATTTGTATCATTGTGCCCCACCTACGGGGCACTTTGATACAAACTAAAAGTTGTATGGAAATATTATTAATTTGAAACTCTAATATGCTAATAATACTTTTATTGTTCAGAGATCACAATCAGTCTTACATTTATACGAATAAAGTACATTTCTTATTCTAACACGTCATCTTAACCATATTATATCTTTTTCATAGAAACTTTCTATAATTAAACAGAAAAATACTTTTTGTTTTCTTTTGATATAAATCAATCTAAATAAAAAAAACACCAAACGTAACAACAACAACACTTTTTAAATTTCTCTACTGCACCTTATAGGCACTTAAATTAACTGAAAAAGTATAGTGAGATGATGTTCAACATGTGCCTTTTGTAAAATTTGGTTCAGGCAGATGTAAAACTACATCTCGGAAATCAACGCTAGCTTGGTCTTCTATATTCGGAAAAACTAAAACGCATGATCCTGGTTTCTTTCTGAGGTAGGACACTTGGTATTCGGTCGAATTGTATTTGTACAAGACTTTGGTCACGTAATAGTCTGTAGATGTCTTCTTATCAAATTTAATATGCAAGAAATCTCCAATGTTTATATTTTCGGGATCGGGGGCATAACTATGTTCTTTAACTTCCTCATCAAGTAGCTCATCCAGATCATTGACTCAGTCATTACATAATTTCATCGACTCATTCAGACTGGATTTAGAATCAGACTGCGATTGTAAACAGACTTTTTTCCTTCTAGATTTCTTCGTTTCCGTTAGTCCCATAAATTTTTTGCAGTTTTCAAAGCTTTGGCTTTCTCCATCATTTTCAGTTGCGGAATTCGTTATTTTTTATCTTGTAATATCTCCAATCTTTTCTTTACCGGCGTTTCAGTATAAACCCTAGATTTCCCCTTTTTTTCCTTTTCTAGACATAAGACATAAAGACATAAATATACTTCATATTTTTGGGTATGGGCTTACAGCTTCAAGGGACAAACAGTCGCAGAAGTCGGTGGAAAAACATTTGGAGATGGAGTAACGCTGGAAGATGATGAAGTAAGGCTTAAAGATGCAGCAAGGTCCAACTGGTGACTCCATTAGCTAAAATCTCGTCTCCTGCACAGATTTCATTAACTCTATCTTGACTTGTCTCGAGGAAAGACATACACATACAGGACATACAGAAGGAAGAGCAACACATGTTGCTGTTACTATTCCGCAAAATGTAACTAGCTCTCCCCTTTTGGCAGACACCATTTGTCCTATTTGCCTCTGTCTTTTCAGTCAGAACTTTAGGTGTAGATAAAACAGTAGTTACTCAGTTTCGTCAAGGTTGGTGATCCGATCAGGAGCAAAATTTTTACCTATATATAATAATAAATAGTAATAAAATTTTATATTGGGGCAGAATGATACGCATCAAAGTGCCCCACAGTTTACCGTATCATTGTGCCCCAACAGAAGTTTTTGTAAAACTTTAACATCATATTTATTTATGTTGATTTATTGAGCTAAAAGCATTAAACTCCTATTTATGGATGGAATAACTGACCGAACGGTGAAGAAAATATATAGCGCGAAAGTTAATATTAAAAGGTGTCGAGGTAGACCGAGACTAACTTTCGAAGACCATGTGAGCAAATTGCTCGAAGAGGGTAGGGTCAAAAGTACTCGGATACCTAGACGTGCATGCATGAAGAAGATAATGAATCTGAAAGAAGCGAAAGAGGTTTGTAAGGATCGTGACACTTGGCGATCTGTTCTCTCTGGCTACCCCGTCAGGGATTGTGCGTGAAGATAAGTAAAGTAAAGTAAGTAGAATAACTTACCTTTAGTAAGTATAAATACTTCAAAGAAATTGTAGAATTTGAGTGAATCTCTTTTATATTCCACGTGAGTTTTTAGTTGGGCGAACACAAAATACAAACAATGTCGTCTAACGCCATCGGCTAACAGGATGACGGCGTGGCCACAAGTGCTGCGCTAAGGCAGGCATAGACAAGTTATAATGTTGTCACGACTCGATTACATCTAACCGATTATGATATATGTTAGGTGAATCAATCTGCCCCTTGCATCAGTCTGCCCCGCCTCCCCCTACTATGCACAAGTTAAAAAAAGGTTGTCAACCCCTAAAAATTTCAAATTTTCAAAATATCCAGAAACGAAGCTGTAGGCATGAACTACTTGCAAAATAATGAATATTTTGTTTGTAACCTAATTGAAATCTATCCAGTAGTTTTTCCGTGATGCGCACAAAACTGCAAACCTCTATCATTTTATTTATATAAATGTTTATACAGTATGCTTACTTTGATTATTGTCAAAGCTACGACATTATGGAGACTCAAATGACCGCAGTATGAAAGAGTTGAGAATGAAATAAACTCTGAAATTTGCTCACTTATATAAAAAAAAATTGCATGTAAATGTATAGGTACAAAATGAAACTTCTTTACGACATCATTCTTCGTTTTTATTTCTTAATGCAGTAATAAATTTCTCCACTACGCCACTAAGGAAGTTTCACTTAAAAAAAAAAAACAGTGCTTGTGCTTCACATTACATATCTTAGAAAATTTATTTCTTTATACACAGGACGAACTACAGTGGTTCCAATTTTTTGATTAAAGCAAACGTCGAAATTTTGGTCACGGAACCGGCCCGTTGTATTGAAGTAAAATGATATATCGTCGCTTTGGTGGTGAAGAGAGTCAAGCCACAACTTTGTTCAAATTGAGTTTAATACTCTAGCATAATCAAAAGAATACGATTTATACGATGCTGAAGAGATCTATCTGCCAAATTATTTTATCTGTCCAATAGTTTTGAAGTTATGGGCTAATTATTATTTTTTGTGTGGTATCACATCTAAAATGCTCATTATCTCAAAACTTGTTAAGTGTGGGTTGACTCTCTTCACTACCAAGGCGACGATATTCAATGAGGGCTAACCATCTAGAAAACATAATAATTGTTTTCTAGATCATCTGGCTCATAAGTAAATGATGTCATAGGGTTAAACTGAAATACTATTATTTAAACTACTAAATACTAAACTAAATATTTATTACTATGATCCACATTTTTATAGTATTCCCCTTTTTAGGCGAACTTTTGAACTCCTCTCATATGAAATAGTGATAAAGTAGTAAGAGTTATAAAAGAAAGGCAAAGCATTTCTATGTTAATGTTTGCATTGTTTTAAACTCAGACAATTCTTAAAATATTCCGTCCAATGTTATTTAATATTTTTTTTTATTTAATAATTATTATATAGGCTTAAGTAACATAAGATATGGAGATTATTTTGTTATATTTAATATTTTTTATAATAAAATGTTTACAA